TGGCATTATTCATTAACCCATTTAACCCTGAATGGTTGAATTGCTTACCCATCACTAGAAGGGAAGGAAATGGTTTTATTTTCAAATTACTTGTTAAAATGTTTATTTTTATACTATTAAAATTAATGTTGTAGATTTAATTAATAGAATTTAATGATGAGATAAATATATCTTAAAAATAAGATTTAATGAGAGAATATACCTTAGATATGAGACTTAATGAGAGAGAATAGGAAAATAATTTTATTTTCAATTGGTTCTAAAGTTTACATTCAATTCTCATTATTAATAAAAACACTTCTTATTTATCATACTTATTATTGTTTAATATGTCTAATATATGATGTTAAAAATGTTATATTTTTTAAATTTCTATATATTTCTATATTTATCTATTTTTGAATTTTATTATTTAATTGTGGCAACATGGATAGGCCCATTTGACCCAAAATGGTTTAATTTCTTACCTCCACCTAGATGAAAACACTATTTTTATGTAGATTTTAAAAGTATAAATTTGTATGTTATTAGAATTATTAATTTATTATGTATGGATTTAATTAATAGAATTTATAATGAGAAAAGATGCCATAAATATATGATTGAATGAAGGTGAATGCAACTTAATATCTTAAATATTGGATTTAATGAAATGGAATTGAATGTCTTAAAATGACATCTTTTCAACTCATTTAATATCAATAACCAAATACCCTATTTGCCCTCATTTTTATCAATAAATTTAAATATATAAGGGCAGATTTTGTCCTCAAAAAATTTCAAAAATATTCTTGAGGCTATTCATGCTTTTTAAAGTAGTATAGATTAATATTTTTTATTTGATTTAATATTTGAATATATATAATAAGTAATGTAGAAAGTAAAATTTAAATTATAATGATAAGTTCTGAACTATATCATCATCATCATCATTATTATTATTATTAAAAATAAAGTTTAAACATTGTATAATTGTGATTTCTAATCAATTATATATAGTAGGTACCATGTTAGTGATACAATTTGTGATTATGTCATTATGTCATTAAAAAACATAACTTACCATATAGTATTATGTTAAACTCACATACATTAACATACACACACACACCTCTATATCTATACTACTTATAAAAGTGCGAATAAGGGGTATTGACTTCTATTATTTTTATTTACTGGAATACTCCTCATCTTGAATTTAGTTCATCTCCATTAAAATGACAGGAAATGTAATTAAAAGAATATCATTAAGTATGTTCAATTACCTCTCATTAAGTCTCACATTTAAGTCATTACATAAATCACATTCTCTCTCATTGAATCCAACATTTATACTTTTGTTTATCATCATTAAATTTCACTAATAAATCCATACACAATAATTATTAATAGAATAAAATTTTATATTTTAAAATAAACATAAAAATTAAATCATATTTTTCATCTAGGTGGTGGGTAAATAGTTTAACCATTTGGGTCAAATGGATAATTTCATGATGTCATAAATAAATAGTTCAAATTTAGAAATATAAAAAATACTTTTGTTTATCATCATTAAATTTCACTAATAAATCCATACACAATAATTATTAATAGAATGAAATTATATATTTTTAAAATAAACCTAGAAATGAAATCATATTTTTCATCTAAGTCGTAGGTAAGTACTTCAACCATTTGGGTCAAGTGGATAATTTCATAATGCCATAAATGAATAATATAAATCTAGAAATATAAAAAATACAAAAAATATAGGAAAAAAATAAATTATGAAAAAAAATGGACACGTTTCTATTATTATATATTTGTCATATTAAAAAATAACTATGATAAAATAGACATACTTTTATTAATGATGGACATTAAATATACAACTTAGAACCAAAAGTAAATTAAACCATCTTCATATCTAGGGGATGGGTTAGTGGTTCAACCTTTCAGGTCAAATAGGTTAACTCATGATGTATAATTAAAAATAATTTTTTTAAAATAGAATAGTACAAAAATAATATAAAACAATATTGGGCACATATATAATATTATATACTAATAGTATAAACAAAAATAAGTATGATAAAATGATTATTTTATCAATTATATAAATGAAACACAAAATTTAAAACTAGTTTGAAAATGATAACATTTCCATATCTAGATGGTAGGTTGGTCAATGATATAACATTCCGTGTCAAATATATATATATATATATATATATATATATATATATATAAAGAAAAATATAAGCTTTGTATAAAACATTTTGATACAATTTTATTGTTATATATTCACCATATTAAACAAATATAAATGTGAAAATAATAATTACTTTTATCAATGATGAAAATGAAATACATGATTTTCCATCCAAGTGGTGGGTTAGTGGTTAAACTATCCATGTCAAATGGATGTTATTATTAAATAATAAAATACATAAAGTTATAGAAAATGTAGAAATTTTTTGATAATTCTGGATACATTCTATAATATTATATATTCATCATATAAAAAATGTGATTAATGAGAATTATTTTCATTCATGATAGAAATGTTATAAAAATTATGATAAAAAATAAATAGCATTAATGTTTAACACATGACCCGACTAACCATATCAAATGGTTTAATAATTTAATTAGCTAGGCCATCGTAAGCAAGTGCTTTGGTAGGGATGCAAACAGATTAGATCATATTTGAATTAGGGTATATTCAAATATGATATGATCCAAAGATTCGATCAGATCTCATAATTATTGATTTGAATCTGAAACTTATCAAGATTTCGGATATTCAAATATAATATGGTCCAATTTATTTTTTAAAAAGTAATAAATTATTAAAAGAAAAAATAAAAATATAATAGTTGAAATAAAAAAAAACAAAAATATAAGTATTTTTTCAACTATTTCCATCATATAAAAAGTTTACAAAAATGTAATATAAATAACATATATTATATATAAATGATATATATATATATATAATTGATTTGACCATAGTATTAAAAATCAATATTCAAACAATATATTGGAATTGCATTTCCTCTTGGTAAATAAGTAATTTTTATTATCTCATTAATTAAATAATAAAAATAAAAATATATAATTTTTTATAAATTTTATAGAAAATTTTGAATATGCATTAATATTATATATTATTCATATTAAACAAAAATATGTTTAAAAAATAAGAATTATTGTTATTAAAGATGGAAATGACTAAAATACAAAGAAAAATGAATTAATGTTTTAATTATAGTCCATTTTCCTGGTTAAATAGGTTAATGGTTCAACCAGCAAAATCATTTGGTTGTTGATTAGGTATTATCACCATCATCATTTGATATTGCCACGTGCAACGTGCATACACTTTGACAACTTGATCAAATTATCACATATTTAGATGAGGTGTTTATGTAATTAGATTTGGATTTTGCAATCTGCATCCGATTAATAATAAAAAACAAAAGTAAAAAATACATATTTATAAAAAAATTTGGATACATTATTACTATCATTATCATCATTTATAACTGCCACATACTTTCCACATACATGCTTACTAGTATAAAGAAAAGCTACCAATTTTAAAGCATAAAGTTTTAGGTGCTGCTTGATAGTAATTTTCAAAAAAAGTATTAGCTTATATCCAACCTTAACAAGACTTGGGTTTCTTTTAGGTCGTGTTTGGTTTGAAAGAATTGTAATAGGTTTCCTTACATTTCCCTAGATTTTTTTTTTTCCCTTTCTTCTCAAACAAACAAAACTCAGTCTTAGGGTTATGTATTCTTCTCTATTCTAACGCCAATCAACCTTTAATGTGGGATTATCCCATTGGTCCATATGAGAAAAACACATACCAACGCATGAACTCAGTTTAGGGGTGTCAATGAATCAGGTCTAATGTGAGTTGGTTTTAACACAAACCCATCCAACACCCAATAAAGCAAAGACGGGATGTTAACCCATGTTTTTCATGGGGTCATTGTCTAGTTATAAATACCGTACAAGAAATATGGGTACTGGAAGGGTGATATCTTTGTAATGCTATCATATATACACATGGGATCCAATAGATATTTTTCTTTCTTTCTTTTTATTATTGGGTGGGAGAGTCCATCCCACAAACCCATGCCCCTTACCCATGTGAAGTGAGGATTTGGCCTCAAGTATCTGCTACAACCATTAAGAGACCTTACCAACCAGCCAATTGGAATCTTATGAGTTAAATAAAAATTTGATAAGAGGATATGTATGGAAACTTGTATGTATGCGTACTACCAAGTACCAACCAGGGGAGCTACAAATGATCATCTCTGGTAAGACTTTCAAATCTGAACAATATGCTCAAACCCAATAAAATCTACCTTAGCCTTCCTAAGTTGAATTGGTCTATCTTAAGTGTTTTTTCTCCTAACTTGAAAGTATCACTTAAAACATTAAGAAACTTCAGAGGAGGTTTGAGCAACGGTCAAAAACTTTCAACAATTTACCAATGATAAAGAAAGTTTTCTCTAGTATTTGGGCGAATTCCATAATCTATACAATTGGATAAAAGACAAGGTGCCAACCGGCTGATTGGTAAGGCCTCTGGTTGTAGCGGAGAATTGCGATCTAATCCCGTTTGCACCTGGGGTTAGGGGGGTCATGGGAGGAAAAAAAAATATAATACATATCGGGTTTCGGTTGGGATTCCGGCAAACGGGTGTCTTTTGCAGTTCTATTCCTACCACGTAAGCCTTTTTCGCGCCATCCAGAGCTTCGAAGGATAATTTCGTCATTTAAAAATTTAAACTCAAAGAGGAAAAGGAAAAAAGAAAGGGTGTATGAAACGACTCCGTACTAATACGTTATTATTCATGGGAATTGGGATGTGCATGTGAGATGTTCTCAATCCATGATGAGATGTGCATGTGAGGTCGGTGTGAGGCGCCCTGAGGGGAGCATAAAACCATGTCGTAGCAAAAGAGTGGTTTGCTTAAAATATCTTTCCATTCTTTCGCTTTCTTTGCTATCTGCTTCCAAATTTCGTTTGCTCTCGAGTCTCGACTTCACAGTCTCTGTTATTCGAGATAACGATCGATGGTAAAACCTGTAAGAGCGGGAATATCCTACATTATCTTTTCCTGCCCAAATTTGATTCTAATATCGTTTTCACACAATCTCATTGCTTGTCAGAACTTCCGATTTTCGATGGAACCAGTCTCTCTTATTTTCTTGTTTCAATATTTTGAGTTTCATGGTTTTTTTGGTGGGTTTTCTTCACCCAGATCAATTTTTCATATGCCTGATAAACTTTACGACGATTTTCGTATTGGAAGTGTATGCAACAGTGTTTCTTTTTTGTTGTTGTTGTTGTTATTATTACTTTTTTCTCTTGCTTTGTGATGGGTTCAAGCATTATCTTTGCATTATTGTCATGCGATGGATTCAAGCCATTTTGATGGTTGTTGAAGATAAAAAACAAAAGGATTTTATGAGCGATTCATGAGTGTTATTGTCGTCCGGTTTTGTCTTATAGCGCTGACTGGGATCTTTTATCGTTAGGCGTCTTTCCACGTCAGAATTGCTATTAAATAGAAGGGATACTCAAGGAATTGGAATATCTAAAGATAGAGTAATAGAGATCTTTGGCAATAAGAGCTAGATATTTTTAGACGTGTACAATGTTGTAGCACCAAACAATGAATAATTTTTCAGCTGTCAGCAGGGAAGGGAGAACAAAAATTTTGAGTAGGTTTTGATTGCTGTTTGGATGAACTACCACTTCTTTGGGTATATATGGAGTAAACAGCTAATGAATGATAAATGTACCTTACACCTGTTCTTCTATTAATTAGAGTTATTTGAATGAGAAAAGTTGAGGTGAAAAGATTGGAAACCATGGTTGTCAAAATCATATGATTTAGGATTGTGAACCCCAAGAGTTTTAACTTGAGAGAGTTATTATTATCATTTGAATCTTATGGGGGGTAGAGTAACTCGCATGGAAGAAGAATTACATCTCTTTGGGGGGTAGAGTAACTTTGATAAGAGCCACACTTGCTAATCTACCAACCTACTTTCTGTCCATGTTTAGAATTCTACCTAGGGAAGCCAACAAACTGGAGAAATTGACGAGGGACTTTTTATGGGAACCGGGGGAAAGTAGGAAGAATCATTTGATAAAGTGGAAAGTGGTCTGTCGGAACAAAGAGGAGGGGGGTTGGGTTTAGGAAACTTGATTCAAAAGAAGACAACACTACTAGGGAAGTGGTTGTGGAGATGGCTCCTAGAGAAAGAGATTATGGCATGAGGTGGTAGGAAGTATTCATGGTCATTTAGAAAATGGATGGGATGTTGGAGACTTGGAGTATCTCAGCGAGCTACATTCTCAGGTTTGTCAGGTTTGATGTTTGTGATGGTAACTCCTTTCTTTTTTGGAAGGATACTTGGGTAGGAGAGGCTCCTTCAAGGACCTCCTCCCCTCTTTATTCTCTGTGTCTTAGTATAAAAAAGACCCTGTTTCTAAATTCGTCTCCCCCTGGAAAATTTGTTGGCACATAACTGGGATTTTGGGTTTTTAGAGGCTTAAGGAAGGAGAAAATTGATTGCCTACCTAGTCTGTTAAGCCTCATTGACAAAGTTTTCTTGGACCCTTTTGAACTAGATAAACGTGTTTGGACATCCCGGCCGACTAGGTCTTTTTCGTGTGCTTCATTTTTCAGGTCCCTTTTTCAGTTCCCTTCCAACTAGTCCTTCCCTGTGAAGGAAATCTGGTGCAAGCCTATTCCCCTAATATTTTGGCTTTTTGTTGGGAAGTGTATTATGGGAAAATAAACACCTTGGGTATTCTTCAAAAGAGAAGACCTTTCCTTTGTACATCACCTAATTGGTGTATGCTTTGAAGACCTCATGGCAAGGATTGTTACCACATACTAATATCTTGCTCCTTTACTACAGAGTTACGGGAGTGGCTCTTCTTGATGTTTGGGTGTAGGTGGAATAGTCCACCAAAAGTAAGCTTGCTTTTTGATCCTTCTAGCTTCCCATAGCATCAAAAAAGAGGAAGAATCATGTGGAGGTGTGCTAGAGCTGCGTTGATATGGACAACGTGGGAAGAAAGAAATGCTAGAATCTTTTAGGAGAAGGAGAGGAGAATACAAGAATTGAAGGAGTGCATATTGGATAGGGTGATATGGTGGCTAAAATCCCTGGTTACATTCCACCAATTCTCCTTTAATGATATATGAAGGAATTGGTCAGAAGTAGCAAGCTGCTCCTCTTTAAAGACTAAAATTGGTATGAGTTGGGAACCCCCTCCTGAAGGTTTTTTGAAGCTGGATTTTGATTGTAGCAGTCCAGGTAATCCAGACCCCTCTAGAATGGGAGGGGTGCTGAGGAATGAATTTGGAAATGTGGTCCTCCTTTACTCGGGTCCCCTAGGGATTGGGAGCTCTACTAGGCCGGAATTGCTAGTTGCCATCCAGGGTGTACAACTTGCAATTCAGCTGGGTGTGCAATGACTACTAGTGAAAGGGGATTCCAAGGTGGTAATGAGCTGGCTACAAAACCCTAAGTCTATCTTGTGGAGCTTTAAGAATGAAATTAAAAAATTTAAGTGGCTGATAAGGAGCTTGGCTGTTAATATTAAATGGGTGGGGGGATCAGCAAATGCTTTGGTTGATTGTCTAGCAAAGCAAGGGACAAACAAGAAACAATTGTATTGGTCTCATTTGTAGTCTGAATTTGTTTTTCTGTTTCTTCTTGTTGTTGGGAGAGGACACAACTCGCGCCTCTTCACGGGAAGTTTGTATCTCCAGCTCTTTTTCTTAATAAAATCTTAATCATTTATCAAAAAATATACTTGTTTTATGGCATAATCTTTTCTCAATTGTTCTTTCCATAGTTTCATAGTGTGTGGTCCATGAGTTTAATCCTTTGATAGTTATTACAACCTTGTATATGGCTAGTTTTCTTAAATATACACACCATAGTACTCTTTCTCTAATCATTAGACATGCTTTTTTTTTTTTTTTTTCCTTTCATTATCTTATTAAATAGCTTATCTAGTTACAATAAGTCTACCTCTCTCATACCTTTTCACACTTCTATTGGAGTCCTAAATGGTCCTAACACCTTTCCCTTCATTTTATTTAGTGTTTCACTTCAACAGTTCTAATTTTAGGAAGGTATATGCTATTTTTAACACTATTAAGATTACTAATTTCTCCTCCATTATCACACCCTTTGCATGTTCATTTAATATTTTTTCAAAATAGTTTTTCCATTTTTTGCTTGATTTACTCATCTTTATCAAGACTTTTTGTCTTTAATGCATCTAACTTGGTTTAAATATTTGCCTTTCCTTTCTCTTATCTTTGCTATTTTATAAATTCATTTTCTCCTTCTTTAATGTTTAATTTATGATAAAGCTCATCATATGACCTAAATTTAATTTCACTTTATTTTTAACTTCCTTTCTTATGGATTTATATTTTTCCCAGTTTTTTTTCCATTTTTATTCTTTTTCTATTCATTGTAACATGCTCATTTTTTTTGAATCTCTTCATTCCACCACTAAGTTTCTTTAGCACCTTTTCTTTTCCCTTTTGATTCTTTTACAACGTCCTTTGCTACTTTATGTAGTTTTCCGTTTCAAGCCACATGCCATTAGTCTTTTCATTTAAATTCCATTTTCCTTCTGCTTTCAACTCATCTCTAAATTGAGCTAGTTTTCTTCCTTTTATGTTTTCCCACCTAATTCTAGGACACTTATTTTCTTTCCTATTTCTCTTCTATTTTCTAATTCACAATTCTACTACCACTAATCTAGATCGTGCGGTTAAGCTTACCCCTGGAATAATTTTGCAATCTTTACACATAATTTATTTTGTTCTCCTAGTAAGGGAAAAATCTATTTGACTTATGTTTTTTCCACTTTTAAATGTTATTAAGTTTTAGTTTTCATCATTCTTTTTAAAAAATATGTTTAGAATTTCCATACCATAAACTACTACAAAATCTAAGGTTGTATGTATTGTTTCATTCCTCTCCTAGACCCAAATCCTCCATGTACCATATCATATCCTACACTTCTTTTCCCCACATGCCCATTTAGGTCTTTTGCTATAAAAATCTTCTCTTCATTTGGAATTTTTTGGATTAATCTTTCTAAGTTTTCCCAAAAATTGTTTTTTAATGTTTTCGTCTAAACTCACTTGAGGTGCATCAGCACTATGTTAATTATTTTCTCACCTAAAACAAGTATAATTAAAACTATTTTATCTTCAAATATTTTAGCATTTACAATTACATTTTTTTTTTTCTTTGTTGCAACTATAAAATTGGTAAGATAGGTTTTTTGGGTCCTTGGGATATAAGAAATCATGGAGGCTAACCTGGAGTATTGATGTGTTGACTTGCTTGCATTAGAATGGAGGAAACATCAAGAAATCTTAGAAGACCATGGAGGGAATAGATAGGAATTCCAACAATTTGTTGCCAACTTTTGAGCCAAATCTTCGGGGCACTGAGCCAAGTTCTAGTGTTATTGAAGTTGAACATAGCCATAGGGATGAAAATGGATTGAGTTGGATAGGGTATAGGTAGATCCAAAGTTGATTTGTTTATAATCGAATTTTGTCCATCGGATTTATGTCAGATTTGAGTCAAATTCGGATTGCAATTGGATATTGAATTTTTTAAATAAATCAAACTAAGACTGATCAAAATATAGTATAGTATGAAAAAATGAATTGAAAATTTCTTTGATATTATATTTTATGAACAAAATTAATTGAAAACTATTTATGTGAAACTTTTTTTTTTGAAGATAAAATAAAATGAATTTTATTAAATAAAAAAAGCAATTACAAGGAAGGTGATAAACAATCACCGAGAGGAAGCAAAACCAAAAGAACCAAGCAAATAAACCCCAATCCCCAAAATAGAAAACCACCCCAAACAAAGAATAATCCTTTTGACCCAGCTAAAAGAAAAAACCACACTGCAACACTAAGGTAAAACCCAGACCCTACAAACCAATATCGACACCCTCCAGAAACCCATCCCTACTGCCCACTCCCACTCAAAAACTCTTCTTATCAGCTTTTTGAGAACAATCTTCTAGTCGCCTTTCCTCTGATCATTTTTGTTTTTAAACGAGTTTATTAGGCCCAATACCATATAAGCCTCCTTTTGTCTGTGCAAAGACTTTTGAAACTGGAACTTGCTGCTGAAAATTGAACCTATGCAAATTTGGTAAAAGCATAATACCCAAATCAACTATACTAATAGATAAGTATAGATTTTAAGTATATATGAGCATGTGCATTTAAATTGAATCGAATCAGATTATACCGGATCGGATAGGGGTGGATCCATATTTGGTCCAATTATTAATAGATCAAATTTGGGTCACCCTTAATGGGATTGAATTAGAATTTGGACAATCGGATACCATTTACATCCTTACATAGTCATGGAGACCCCAACTCACTCCAGCGAACTGCTGAATCATGAATGTGTGGTTGAACGTCACTAACATTATCAACAAGGTTAGGATAGTTGATGATGTCATTCATTTAAACTTTGAAGTATGCCTCTTCTAACCTAAATTAAAGGAATTTGTCTATATCTTCCATGATCAAGGAGTTTCTTGCAGAGATCATTGTCATTTGGTGTTAATTTATGATTGGAGGATGATCAAGTTAGATGGAGGTCATTTGGAGATGTAGAGGAGGTTGATAAAGGGAATGACGAGGTGGTTGCAAATAAGACATTTGATAAGTTTGGAGTTAGAGAGGATAAATGTGGGTTCCAAGGACATGAAGTTAAGAAGGTTCCTAGTGCAGTATGACGTCTCAGAAACCAGAAGAACCATCAGACTGTTCAGGTTTTGAAAGTTTTGTTTTTTTCCTAGATTGAAAGGGGGTTTATTTGGGATTGGACCTAACAAAAAAAGTGAAAAAAAAGGAAATGTTCCAAGATAAGCAAGAAAGTGCCTGTCCAAGCCATTAGAGAGGCTGAGTAATCGAGTAGAATTTTATTATGATTATATGCTGGAGTCTTCGTGTAGAAGTTGTTGGATTCTGTCATTTGGTTTGGTATATGTATTCTTGGGTTAGTTAGGAGGTTTTGATGTAGAGGACTTGGTGTTGGGTGGAGGGTGGATTTATATCTTCTCTTGGGTGAATTTTGGTCACCTTTCTTGTATGTTCATTTTTGTTTTAATACATTTTATTTCACTTCTAAAAAGGACTTTCTCTTTTTGATCAGTATAAAAAAGTACTTTCTTATAGAGATAATGGCACGATGCAGCTGATGTCCATGGACAAGGGATGACCAGCAATGGACAAACTAGTTTAGGTGAGCCTGGATCTCCTGAAAGCAAAAAACGTGCAAACACTTTCAGAGCATGATATCCAGCTGCACATTGAGAACATCTCCTGTAAAGCTGGATGCCGTGCTCTCAGGTTGTTTGCACATTTTTTGCTTTGAGGAGGTCTGGGCTTAGTTTAGATTTCTTGGTCATATATAGATTACTTGTGACTAGATCTGTTCATGGGCTGGGCTCAGGCTGAGCTTTTGCCAAAATTTGAATGGGCCCAACCTGAAACCTGAGTGTGACAGGCTGCCCATGAACAGTTCTACTTGTGACCTGAGACCTGGGGTTGTGATGGAGTAAAAGAAATTACACTCTGACCTTTAGGGCAAGGACATTTCAGAGGGAAGTGGAATGATACATTTGTAGATTTTGAAAATATTCAATTGGTCAACTTGACATATAACATTCATTTAGGTTAGAATGAGAAGGTTATTCCGAAAGGTATATTTGCTTAGATCTAGGTTTTGGTTGGTCTTTTATTTTGTAAGGATTATATATTGATGTGGACACTAGGGCTGCCTTCACTGTATGTTCATCATCATCTAAGCCTTATCCCAACTATATGGGTTAGCTACATGAATCCTGTTTGGCCATTCCGTTCTATTTAGTGCCATATCTATTGTTAAATTTTTAGCATTTAAGTCATTTCTTACTACAACCTATGTCCTTTTTTTGGTCTGTCCCTATCCCTTCTAGCCATCAACAGGTTGCTTCTTCTTACAGGTGTTGTAAATGGTCTTCTATTTAAGTGACAAACCATCTTAGTCTACTTTCTCTCATTCTAATGGAGGATTTTGGCTCTTGATGAGGCCTGCTTAGGTTGTTTGTCCCACTAGACTGAACCTATTTTTCTATTCCTTTTCCTTCTCTTTATTTTTCTTTAGTTACAATTAATGGGAGTGTAGAAGCAGGGAATTTTCAAACTTGGACTTCTGAATTTTTGGTTCAATATTCTTATTGTAGATTCTCTTGGCTTTAAGAATAACACCTCTCAAGTGGCTAGGTTTTTCTGGGTGAATTACTAGCAATGCATAAGGAAAATGGAAGTGTCAATTATTCTTTTCATCTCCTTCAGATTTTATTGGTTTGGTTTTGTTTCATGACAAGGATATTTTATGATAGGATCATGGGGAGTTGGAGATTTTATTTTTTCCAAAACAAAGAAAATATTATTTAATTAACATGGGAGCGTTTGACATCGCTGTGCCCATATGTTCAAGTGAGGAGAGTAGCTGAACCTAAACTAGCATATGCTGGGAACCCATAACAAATTTGCATGACTTGAAGGAATTTCTGAATCCTTTTTTTGTAAAATATAGAATGCCTTTTTTTTGTTAAGACTATCCAATAAAAAACATTAGCATGCTTTTAATTGCACAAGGATGACTGCATTGAACTTTTACTTTACTCAGTTCAGTGAGGAAACGTGATCTTTGTTATTGATTTACAAGCTCATATCCTTTTTTATTGCATTGGTGTTTCCTCTCCTGACTAGCTCATATAATAAAATTCTATTGGCTTCTGTCTTTTAATTTGCAATTTTTGGGTGATTTTACAGTTGAGAGATGGTAAATGATATTCAATCTCATAAAAAAATTAAGGGTTGTGATAACAACCACTCCGGTAGAGGTGACATTGGTGCTTCAATTATCTCAGATTTTGCAACAACAGATACTTCTGCTTTAAGAAGGTTAACCAAACAGTTACCTTCAAAGAAGAAGACAGTGTTGATCTCTGCAATCACACAGAAGTCTGAAGGACTTGAGAAACAAATTCTGCCAACTGCTCCAGTTAAGAGGAGGGCTGAGAGAGTTGAGAAGAAAAAAATGCCGAGTCCTGTAAGAAAGTCTGATGGGAATGAGAAGCAGTGCTCTTTGAGTTCTTCAGAGTCGAAGAAGACTAGAAACGGTTTCAGTACATTGGATACCAAAAGAGAAAAGAAAGGAGATAGATGTGGGAAGAAACTGTTATTTGATGTCAGAGAACAAAGTAGTAGAAGTGAGGAGCTGACACATGTGAGTCTGAGAAAGAAGAGATTAGATGCCCGTAGTTACAGGGCACTAATCAGCTCTCAGTCTAGCTTGGCCAAAGAATTAAGTAAGTGACATTTCTTCTATACCTCTTTTGTTTTAACTACATGTTTCTCTTAACTCTTTCATGGTTAATTATTTTGTCTGGTTTATCATTATAAAATCTCCAATAAAGTTATAAAGGTAATGTGCTCTCATTCTGGGTACCTTGTGACCATATAGAAAAAACAAAAAAAGAAAACAGGCCATTGAATCACCATGCTTTCTTTGCAATGGTAAAAGAGGAATTTGATGTTGATTTTCTTATGGCTTTGATGCATGGTCTCTTACTGTATGCCTTAAAAGTATCGTGTATAGCCAACCATTGTGATTTAGGTTCCATGTTCAAGTATGCCCTCGCAAAACTGATAATAACAGTTGCATTGTCTTAAAATGGTTAAATACTTTTTTTCTCTGCTTGGCTTAGATACTTTTTTTTTTTTCTCTGCTTGTCTCAAGGAGATGGCAATAATATCGGAACTAGGGATTCAATAGAAGGCAAGGAGGGTGCAGAAGAGTGCACTGAGCTAAAGGGAGAGGAACAAAGAAAACAAGATATGGCAGGAGGGGGTGAAAGATCTACAGAAGGATCCAACTCAGGAGAATTGTCATCCTTTATCCAGAAGCATAAGATTCATCCTGATGACGAACAGGATTCTGAAAATGGAGATGGTTTAGCAGTATCCAAGTATAGTCATAGCTCTTTGCACTCATCCCCAAATGGAATAATTGGCAAAGAAACTGTTGATGATGCTAAAAAGGATTGCCCAGCAAGGGAAGACTTGCAAACATCAGAGTCAATTGAATCTACTTCTGAGGGAAGATTACTTTCTGCTGATGCTGATATTGGAATGGATGAAAAATCTGGAGCTGTTAAAAGAAATGCAATGGATATGGATTCTGATGCTTCTGTGGCGGCAGCAAGCAAAGAGATCTGTAGTTTTACTGCTGATATTGTTTCTTCATCACCATCTGGTGGCAGGAGAGGTAACACTATTGAGAGTTGCAGTATCTGTTCTAAAAGACAGAGGTATTCTTTTTCCTGGTGTCATTCTTTCTTATGCCTTGTGTTTTGGCTGTTACCCCACCCAAACAAATTCATACATGTATGTATTTTATTTATATAAAATATATTTTCTAAGTGTATATATGTCTATATGTATAAAATATGTACATACAGATTTTCTAAGAAAATAATATATATATATATATATATATGTATGTATGTATGTATGTATAATCTATTCTACTTCTAAGTTGGGCTCTAAAGTCCAATAAAAGATGATTGTACAAAAATATAATCATAAATTCTTTTTAAACCCAATCAATGCACCCAGGCCCAACTTGACTGAACTTGAGCTCAAGCCCAGCCTGTGCTTTTTGTGTTAAGCTTGGGTTGTGCCTGGGTTGGTAAACTTGGGCTTGATCTCAGGATCTCAGGTTGGGCCAAGCCCAAGCCCGGAGTTTACATCCTAGGGTTGGGCCTAGGTTGACCCTCAATCTGACCCAACCCCGCCCCAGTTGCACCTCTGGCTGTAACAATTCTCAATATATGGGGTCAGCTAGATGAATCTTGCTTCATCTTTCTGTTCTGTTTAATTCCATTTGTTAAAGTGAGCCGAACAGGGGTAGTTTAGTCATCTTATGTTTGTTAAGTGGTTTGCTTATGTGGCAGTTTTATTAGAGACACTCTGCCCCACACTTAAGTAAGGGCAATTTAGTCTTTGTAAATGCCATTAGAATCTAATAACTATTAAGGGGGTCGACTGAATGGGAATACCATCAGATTTCGACAGACCCCTCTTTTCCTTCTTCTTCTTCTCTTCTTCTTCTCTTCTTCTTCTCTTCTTCTTCCTCTTCTTCTTCCTCTTCTTCTTCCTTCTCTTCCTGGTTCGGGTTACTGTAGCAGCATTCGAAACATGGTATCAGAGGCAGGTTCCTGACCTACTTCAGTTCGTAAAGCATCTCAGCAGTGTTCGTGACCCTTCTTCCTTCGTTTCTGGTCAGTCAATGGAGAGAACTGGTTCGCCCTAGGTCTGAAACATCACAGCTCGTCTCTCTYTGCTGCRCATAATCTTCTTCRTCAAGAAAAGTGACTTCAGCAGTGAATGGTTGGTTGAGACTCTCAAAGGAAGGTCGATTATCTCTTCTTCTTGTGTTGCTGGTATTTCTGGGTAGAAACCCTTCAAGAATCTGTTAGTATTGATCAGAACCTAGAGAACTAGGTTCATTGTTGCCCTAGAACGGGCTGTGTGTACAGTAGCCGAATGGTGTAGGGGCTGTTGTAAGTTGTTGAGTGGTGTTAGGGATGTTGTAAGTGGCCAAGTGGTGTAAGGTGTAATGCAGTGACCTAGCCGAGCTCTTTGTGGTTGTGTAATGCCCTCTTAAAAGGGTTAAACTAGTCTGAACTGGGTGTAATAGGTTTGACTATGTTGTGGTGCTTGTGGTGCACAATCTTTATTGAGTGGTTGTAAGAGGGCTTACATGTGATTAGTGAGTGTTAAATTGATGCTTATGTGGTTCGTGGTGTTGTGAAATCAGCAGTAGTGTGAACAAGGCGTCTGTACCCACTGTTGTGTTTAGGGGCTGCTATAGGTGCTGGAACATCAAACTTTGAATAACAGCAGTAAGCTTGTAGCTGAGAATTCAGGTTAGAGGCAACTGTGAAAGAGTACAATGGCAACAATAGGAGATGGGTATAATGATCAGAAACCTAGTGTGGTGGTTTCCCCTGACTACCTAGGTGTAYARATGACCTCAATTAAACTGAATGGGGAGAACTATGTTCCATGGGCTAAATCAGTGGAAGTTTTCCTCAAGGCAAAGAGGAAAGTGAAGCACGTAAAAGATGATAAACCACCG